CTTGTTTGGGTATCAGCCAGCACGTCAACAACTTAAATCAAGAAATAGTTTTCTTAGATCTACAGAGACACTAGCTGGAACACCTCAGCAAGCGTGAGTTCAAAAGTGGCAGGCTCAAACCCAGCATCTCAATCCGTGGGTGATACCAGATGAGAGACTCCCTCCTGGGCACACAGAAGACTGGGCGACTTGGAAGGCGCTGAACAGACTGCGCTCTGGCACCATGAGATGCAGATCCAATCTTAAGAAATGGGGCTACAAAGTTGAATCCACGACATACGAGTGTGGAGAAGAGCAAACCACTGACCACCTGCTGCAATGCAACCTGAGCCCTGCCACATGCACGATGGAGGACCTTCTTGCAGCAACACCAGAGGCACTCCAAGTGGCCAGATACTGGTCAAAGGACATTTAATCAGCTACCAAGTTTGCAAAATTTGTGGGGGTTTTTTTTGTTTTTTTATCTGTTTGTTTGTTTTGTTCTGTTAGAAATGTAATACAATGTTCTGGTTGCGGATGACACGATAAATAAAATAAAATTTAAAGTGGTGTGCAAGGGCATTCATTCCATACTGTACATGTACCAAGAGAAGGGTATGGACCTTGGAAAACTATGACTCCCAGAACTGCAAAGCATGGAGATACGGCATAATAATAATAATAATAATAATAATAATAATAATAATAATAATAATGGCATTTAAAATGGGTCCTGACTGCATTTATTCTCCAGCTGAGATGCATCAAGAGAAGGCTATGGACCTTGGGAAACTATAACTCCCAGGACCACATAGTATGGAGCTATGGTATTAAAAGTGGAGTCCAAGAGCATTCATTCAATAGTATAAATGCAGCAAGAGAAGGGTATGGACCCTGGGAAACTATAACTCGCTGGGCTGCACCGCATGGAGACATGGCATAATATTCATCATCATCTCCATTCTTCCCTCCTGGCTTTCCCATGCAACACAAGGGACAGACATATCACAGAAGGAAGGGAAGGGAAGGAAAGGACCCAGAAAGGCTATTTTTTAAAAAAGAAATTGTTCTGGTAAAAAGTAAAAACTCAGTGAGCAAAAGGTTATGCTTTCCCTAACAAGGGTACTTTTGGCTCCTCCCACAATTTCCCCTTCCACAAATTGGGAGAACATTTCATTGTAAACCTGGGAGCAACGAATGCCATCACATTACAGAAATGGCCAAACCTCCAGATGATTTCAAAATATCCACTTCCCCACCACCTCAGGAAATATTTTAAAAGAATGCTGGCCCTCACGCTTAAAATACGGAAATAATGCTCTATCCTACACTTGAAGCCAAACTAGCGTGATGACAATTTTCTTGGCAGTTCAGTGGCGGTGCTTACAAGTATTTATGTATTTGCAAAGATCTGAATACTTAACACATGCTTAACATTATCCATCCATTACAGTTTCATCTCAAGCTAAAATATATTGCTAACAATCTAAGATTACATAGGTACATTCTGGTGAGGAACGAAGCGTTTCCATTTCTGTCTGGTGCAATGGATTAATCAATATAAACCCTGATACTGACAAAAATACATTGAAACCTAACTTGCACCAATCAGTGCCAGCCTCAGAGGCACTTCAATATATCAATTAATAAGCATCCCGGTGGCTGCTGAAAACATTTAAGAAGCAGATTTGATTTGGTACAGGCACAGTCAGCAGAGATCTATCAGACACTAAGTAATTGAATGCTGCCACTTGGCAAGAGGGATGTTTTCTGCAGCAAGCGTAGAAGCACAATGCCTTCTTTTTCCCCCTGGGAGGACTCAGGGCAAAGACAACACAGAAAGGGTTGGAGGAGGTCAAGGCTCTGAGTAGGAAGGGCCCACAAGACATAATGGAGGCCAGTTTCCTGCTAAACTCGACATGGCCAGGACTGCAAGGGCAGTAATTATTAACGCTGTGACAGAACAAGAAGGTGGGGGAAAGAAAAGGGATCACTTTAAGGTCAGCAAAGCCATTTTAATGAGAGGACCCATTTAAAGTGGCTGCCTTAAACCTCCCCACTTCTGGGTTCATTTAACTATCATTTAGATTCCTTTGGAGCTCTGCGAGAACAAGGCTAAGCAAAGTTGCAGCATTAATTCCAGAGACATGATTTATCCTGCACAACTACAGTTAGGGAAAGAGGCACTATTTTGAGGCATATTTCCTGATCAATTCAGTTCCCCGCCCCAGATATACCACAAACACACCCGTGGGACAGTTTTCTATCTCAGGGGTCTATCTACACTGTAGATACTCCCCTGCCAAACTACATAAATTCTACAGTGTACCTACATTGTAGAATTAATGCAGGTGGACACTACTCCAACTGCCAAGGCTCAGTGCCATGAAATCATGGGAGCTGTAGTTGTCTCCATTGTGGCCCCTCGGCTTTGGAATTCTCTACCCAGTGAGATTAGGCAAGCCCCCATCCTGACTGTCTTTAAGAAATGCCTAAAAACCTGGCTCTCCTGGCATGCCTTTGACGAATGAACATATACCTTCATACCATGTTCGTTCGAATACAGATCTGTCCTCTTGATGCACTTCATTTTGTCCCTTAGTGAATGTCAACCCCACTGTTCGTCCCTTCTGAGTTCTCCCCTCAGACACACACTACTCCATTTATGTATCTCACCCAGGGTTTTATCAATTTTGTCCTATGCATTTGGCCTGCCCACTCTGTTTTCATTCTTCTACCATTTTATTTTGCATTTGCTTATTGTATACTTGTTATGGTCTGCTTTTTATTTTATTTTGATGTTATTACTTGTTTGTTGTATTTTACTTTGCTGTACTGTAACGTTTGGACTTGGCCTCGGGTTAGCCAACCCAAGTCCCCTTTGGGGGTATAAATAAAGTTTATTATTTATTATTAAACCTAAGTAGAGGTAAAGGTTTCCCCTGACATTAAGTCTACTTGTGTCCGACTCTGGGGGTTGGTGCTCATCTCCATTTGTAAGCCGAAGAACCAGCGTTGTCCATAGACACCACCAAGGTCATGTGGCTGGCATGACTGCATGGGGCTTCGTTACCTTCCCGCAGAAGTGGTACCTATTGATCTACTCACATTTGCCTGTTTTCGAACTGCTAGGTTGGCAGAAGCTGGGGCTTACAACGGGAGCTCACCCTGCTGTTAAGCCTAACTATGTATGTGTTATACACACACACACATACATACATATGTATATATGTGTGTATATACACACACACACATATTTACTATACAGAGATCTATTATGTGTATGTTCCATTAATATGGATAAATATCAGCTCAGGAAGCAGCTGAAGGGGAAAAGGAAAGGGCCTGACACTGTTAGGAATGGTGGGAGTTGATTTATTTATTTATATATTTCCAGTATTCCTACCCCGTCCTTCTCAAATCCTGAAGGGGGACTCAGGACGGCTTACATTTGGCAACAATTTGATGCTGCTACATATAACAACAATATAACAACAATTTAAACAATAGAGCATTAGTGAAAACAATAAAAACAGTATTAACAGCTGTATCACCATTCCAGTCAAATTCCATATCCAAAGTGCTATTTATGCCTGCTGCCCAAAAGCCTGGTCTCAGAACCATTACTTCAATTTCTTCCTAAAAGACAGGAGGGATGAAGTCAATCTTACCTCATTGGGAAGCTAGTGCCACAGGCGGGGGGGTTACAACCCAGAAGGCTCTGTCCCCGCCAGACGTATTTGCGATGCTGGCGGGAGCGAGAGCAGGGCCTCCCAGGATGATATTAAACTGTGAGGTGGGACGTAGAGGGAGATGCGTTCGGACAAGTAAGCTGGGCCAGAACCGTATAGAGCTTTATAGGTCAAAACCAGCACTTTGAATTGAGTTCGGAAGTGGACCGGCAGCCAGTTGATCTGACACAACAAAGGGGTGGTATGCTCCCTGTATGTCGCTCCAGTTAGTAATCTGGCTGCCACCCGTTGGACTAGTTGGAGTTTCCAAACAGTCTTCAAAGGCAGCCCCACGTAGAGTGTGTTGCAGTAATCTATTTGGGATGTGACCAGAGTGTGGACCACCGTAGCCAGATCAGACTTCCCAAGGTATGCAGCTGGCGCACAAGCTTTAACTGTGCAAAAGCTCCCCTGGCCATCACTGAAACCTGGGGTTCCAGACTCAGCAATGAAGCTGCGAAGTCCAAAACACCAGAGGGCCCTAGTTTGTCCATGCCTGGTGTAGATGTACACCATGTGAGGAGCAAGGTTTTGATAGTATGTGTGCTTCCTGAGTGCTTCCTGAAAGCTGTATTTCCTGATCGGTCCCAGTTTCCTCCTCCTGGGCATGTTTGGCTTCTAAAAGATAAACACAACCTGTACAATTTCTACCTCTTTCGAAGCCAAGTGACTTCCCAGCAGCCCAAAGGAAAACACCCAAACTCAGGGCGCGTTTCCCCTCCGGTGGGTCAACACGAGTCCAGAGTGGCCTGCGGTTTTCTTCCATCCGCAGGGATTTGGATGCGACGGAGCGGAAGCCCGGGGGAAACAGTGCGTCTACACTGTAAAAGCAACGCAGTTTCACACCACTTGAAATGCTATGGTTCGACTCTATGGAATCCTGGGCGTGGTGGTTTGGTGCGAGACCCCAGCCAGCACTCTTTGGCACAGAAGACCATGCCAGATCACTCCATGATTCCATAGCGTTGCGCCAGGGAAGTTAAAGCGGTGCCAAACTACATTCATTCCATGGTGTAGAAGCACCCGGAGAAAGCCGCTCCGCCGGAGGAAGGGCGGTGTCCCCTCCCGAGTCCTCCATTTCYAGACCCCTCTCGCCCAGCAACKTCGGGAAAGCGGCTCCAAAGCAGCAGCCGCCCCGACAATAACGCCAACCTCCTCGGCTTTGCTTTGCTTTCCTCCCGCAGTCTCCTCCTCTCTGTCCTTGGCGCGTCGTCCGTCCCCACTCCTCCCTCACTCTCTCCCCCCCCCCAACCCCAAAGTTGTCCACACTCACACGTTACGGACACGAACCTGGGCCCCGCGATTTCCCGACGCTCCTCTCCCAGCCCGGCGGCTCTGGGACCCCGACTTGCCACGCGCGCACGCGCCTTGACGCACGCGCCTCTGGCTCTTCCGGGCTAGCCCCGCCCCCGGGATTCCTGAAGGCGGGAGCGAGGGAGGGGCAGAAGGAAGGAAGGAAGGAAGGGGCCGGAGGGGAATGCCCAAGCTCAGCAAGAAAGCCCGGCGCAACCCCTCTCCGCTTTTGTCCCATTTCGCCCTTTTGAATTCCCTGCACAACCTAACAATTCAGCAGTTGGGATTGGAGGCAGGCGACCAGTGCTGACGTCGCCTAAACTCGATGTTGAGCAGGCACAGGTTGAGCATCCCGTACCAGGAAGGCAGAAAGGATCCAATTTTCCAAATTGTCAGCAGGAGTGGCAGATCATTGACATCATCATCATCATTTAGCTACCACTTGTTTCCTAAGGACCCTTACACACAGCTGAATAAAATCCCACATTATCTGCTTTGAACTGGGATATATAGCTGTGTGGACTCAGATATACAACCCAAAATATCAAGGTAGAAAATCCCACACTCAGGGCCCCGTAATACAGGTTAATTCAGATCCACCGAACGATTGGACAATGCGACTGGAAAATTATTTTAGTAATGAGACGTTGAGGACTTATGTTTTATTGTTTTTTATTGTCTCTATTGTTTTTATATAGTTTATATTATATGTTAATGTTTTAATTATATTTTATGTTGTTGGGGGCATTGAATTTTGCCATTTGTACAGGGATATCTGAGTCCACACTCAGATAATGTGAGATTTCCTGCCTTGATATTCTGGGGTATAGGGCTGTGTGGAAGGGCCCCCAGTGGAAGAAGAAAAATGACCCATGCCGTAAATAATGTGCTCTTTGTGGAAGTGCCATACCCATCATTCATCATGATGTGTTGGCTATTAAATTATCCATCCTTGTAGAAAATGGCAATATCTCATCCTTTATCCCTCCTTTTAGGAAAGGCCAGAAAAGAACCCCAGGTGACAATCTGCTCTCTCACCCAATGATAACCTCTCTCTCTCTCTCTCTCCCCCCCCCCCCCCCCCCCCCCCCCCCCCCCAACACAGCAATTTCTGGAAGAAATAGGAAAACACTCCTGCTAAGAAGGCAGTGGCTGTCTGTCACCCTGTCTTGTTCACCAATTCTGAGCAACACACCAGGGCAACTTAGGCTGTTGCTTAAGATGTTGCAGCCAATGACCTATTCCCTTTCACAGATTTGCATTTCGAAACTTGTAGGTGTACTATATATAAATGAGGACTAAATCATATGAACTATCTTGTTAGAGTGTTGGCACTGTCATCAGAGTGGGTTGGTTGTCGTAGGTCAGGGGTCCTCAAATGTTTTAAACAGAGGGCCAGTTCACAGTCCTCAGACTGTTGGAGAAGTGGACTATAGATTAAAAAAATATGAATGAATTCCTGTGCACACTGCACATATCTTATTTGTAGTGCAAAAAGAGAGAAAGAAAGAACAATATATTAAAAATGAAGTCAGTCACATTAATTAGGATTAATGTGTCTTCAAGTTGTTTAAGATTTTGGACAACCCTAAGTCTAAAGTTGAGGAGGGAGGATGGATAAATGACCTTGGAGAGTTACATCAGGCCAGTGGGCCTTAGTTTGGGAACCCCTGCCTTAAGCTGTGGATTTCACTGTCATGAAAAGGAACAACATTGCTCTTCCAATGTGTTATTGTATTTTAAGGTGTGTTTGTGGGGGCAGCGTTCTATCATGATTATTATTTTTAATTTTAATTTTTGCTTCATATGTCACTGTTTGACTTTAGGTATCTCAAGGAGGGAAAGCAGAAGAATTTGCTGCTCCACTTCTGACACTAGAACAATACTCCACCAGCCCTGACCTTATCTTGCTTAAGTATAATCCCTCTTAAACAGGGCTCAAACACATTGGTTGAGCGCTTTATGTTAGAGAGTTATTCTGCTGCTGTTCATGCTGCAGTTGTCATTGCAATTTCAGTTTCCAAGAGTAGTATCTGGTAACATGACCTGATAGTTTTAGGCTAGCCATCCACTGCAATTTTAACAAAATACACAGCTAGACAAGGAGATATTAATAAAAGAATGACAGTGTCAGCACTTAAATTAAGAAAAGTAAGATGGGTCATCTGCTTCTGTTCACATTTACTTGGACATCTTTCCTACTGAATTCAGTGGGATTTACTGAAAAATAGGTGTGTGTAGAATTGCAGCCTTAGACTATAAATCAGTACACAAGCTTACATATAAGGAGCAGATAGAAGAAGAGGAGGTGCTATGTATATCACACTTTGAAGTTATGGATAGCAGCATTTCTTTTGCCATGAAGGTTACATGATGGTTGTAACTAAATGAAGGATAATTTCATACATAAAATATTTCTCTGGTCAATTGCAACTCATTCATTGACATTTTGGGAGAAGCCCTTGACACCCTTCCAATATTACAGGGAGGGGATCTTGTGAGGTGACAGAAGGGAGTCACCATAAGAGGTGAGGTGTATTGCAGAGAATAGAGTAACTTTATTATCATTGTACATTGTAACAATGAAATTAAATGCTTTTCCCAGCACACATCACAAAAACACACCCATCCCTCTACACCCCTACCCCAGTGCACAGCCCCCAATGCCACACTTCAGTGTTTCACTTTAGCAGCTCTGTAAATCATGTGACACGTGTTTGATGGGTAAAATTACACTTTTCTAATGTAACTAATGGCAATCTAAGGTGCTTCCAGACAGCACCAAATCAGGCATGTAGCCGGGGGGGGGGGGGGGGGGGGGGGGGGGGGGGGGGGGGGTTTGGGGGCTTCAGCCCCCCCCCCCCGAAATTCTCACGGTGGTTCGCAAAAAGGCCTTACTGGTGCATTATTTAATCTGTTATGTTTATTCATATCATGATCTGATCACCATACTCAATATATCCCATATGCATGGGGGTATTGGGGTAATGATACAAAAGGTTTGCTAGGCTAGACCCTCTTTCACTCAGACTCAGCCCCCCCCCCGAAACCCCCCCCCCGAAACCCCCCCTGAAAATTTTTTAGCCCCCCCCCCCCCCGAAATGAAATCCTGGCTACGGGCCTGCACCAAATCACAGGTTTTATCCAGGGACAACAAATCCCGGTCCATACACAGACGTGTTGATCCCAGAATTTCTGCCTTCATCGTCCACACTTGCTGATTCGTTGTGGGATTTAGTGGCTCCCAAGATGGCCACCATGGGAATTCCGCTGGAAATTTCAGCACTTTTTTTTATATAAAAAAACTTAAGATACAAACATGTGAAGATGTGATTCATTGTATAAGTTCAGTTCCTGGGTTATATAAGCTGCAGGGCCATCTGTGCAGACAAGGTGTTGTTCCTGGCTTATACATGTCTGTTCCTGATTGCTCTTATTTTGAAAACATGTAAAACATTGACGGGAGGGGGGGGGGCTTTGTCCTACCCAAAGAAAATGTGCCCTCCACATGTTCCATGAAGTTTCTGGCACACAAACAAAGTTTTCACACTCTACTCAACTGCCTCCTTCTTTTAAGGAACGAACCAATCAGGAATAAACATCTAAAACCTGGGAACAAATCTAGATAAAAACCCCGTGATTTCCAATTAGAGGGACATACAGACATTTGAAGATGCAGAATTTTGGCTCAGAACTGGGATATTCCTGCACCTGAAAATCTCATGGTTTTTGCTGTTTGCAGCACTTCCTCCTACATTTTGAGGGAACGGCATCTTGTTTGTTGCAAAAGCTCCTGGGATAAATGTACTGTCTGAACAGGCCCCTAGTTCAATAGAATATTAGAATGACAATAGACCTGCATTTAAAAAATGCTCCATCTTTAGAATATAATGATAATGATAATAATAATAATAATAATAATAATAAGAAGAAGAAGAAGAAGAAGAAGAAGAACCACCTGCCAGCAGAGGCAGCCCTAGGTAATTTTCAACGGTAAGCAAACTGTATTATGGCACCCCCCATCATTGGTGGAGTTCAGAATGCTCTTTGATTTTAGGTGAACTATACATCCCAGTAACTACAACTCGCATATGTCAAGGTCTATTTTCCCCCAAGAGCACCTCAAGAGCACTCCTGGGCAAAATCAACTATACTGCAAATGCTTACTTTGCGTAATGGGTTGAGACGCCCCTGCTTCCCAGCAGTAAATAACTGGTGGGGTCATAAACCTGAAAATGAACACGCAAAAATACTGTGGAATTTTTGAATCCAGACTGATTTTCGAATACACCAGATGTCACAATTGTGGAAAGGAAAAAAGTTTGGATTATTGATGTCACCATAGCAGGTGACAGCCGAATTGAGGGAAAACAACAGGAAAACCTCAGCTGTCATCAGGACCTAAAAATCGAACTGCAAAGGCTCTGGTATAAATCAGTACAAGTGGTCCCAGTGGTAATTGGCACACTGGGTGCTGTGCCAAAAGATCTCAGCCGGTATTTGGAAACAACAAACATTGACAAAATCACAACCGTCAACTGCAAAAGGCCACCTATTTGTGTGCATCTTTTGAAAATACATCATACAGTCCTAGATGCTTGCAAAGTGTTCGACTTGTGATTTTGTGATACGAAATCCAGCATATATATATATATATATATATATATATATATATATATCTTGTTTGCTGTGACATATTGTGTTTTTGTGTCAGTAAAATATAATAATAATAATAATAATAATAATAATAATAATAACAATAATAACAACAACACTTTATTTACATTCCACCCTATCTCCCCAAGGGGACACAGGCCGATCACAGTACATATATATAGCAAACATTCAATGTCGTTTGGACAGACAGAGCAGACAGAAAGGAGGTATGCTGTGTTGGCATCCAGCTTTTGGTGTCTTTGGAAGTTGTGCTCAATTCCAGCTACCGGTGGTGGTGGTGTCACTCCATCTTCTATGATGAAGAGCCGTCAGGACTTCCTCCTTCCTTTTGGTCACCAGTATTTTCTGGTCTTTTTCTTTTATGGTGTCGTAAAATACCTCTGCTGCTTTTTAGCGATACCCAATTTCTCTACTTACTGTTTTCGAACTGCTTAGGTAAACAAGTGAGTTGGGCTGACAGGGGTGCTCACCCTGACCTGGGCTTTAAACTGCCAACCTTTCGGTTGGTAGATCTTATTGCTGCTGGTGGTGATTTATCACCTGTGCTAATATAGCCCTGGTGGACTAGGCTAATTT